AAATATACATGGGGGAGGGGGGGGTTAATATAACTGGGGATTTCTGGGCGTTAGGATGGGGGACATGGCTCCCCTGGCTCCACCCCTGCACATAAATAATATTTTATTCTATATGTAGTAAATATTTATGATTTTTAATATTATTTTTAAAATTCATAAAGCTATATAAATAGAACAAATTAAAGTTATTTTATAAACATGTTAAGTCCACAGCATTTGCTTATTTCCCACTTGACTGCACTAGTTGTTTTTCATTGTTTTCCATATTTGGAGGTTAATTGGCAAAGTTTTTTTTTTTGATAAATGTTAGTTGGAAAATTACAATGGGTCATAAGTTACGTGTAAATTGGAAAATTACAAATATTAGAGGGGTGGTTGAAAATATAGCACTGTAAAAAACATGACCAGACTTGTTTGTGTCTTTCCAAAGAATGCATCTACTGTAGATTGCTATAATAATTGCAGGTACCTAACTAAGTATTCTGTGCTTAGGTTCTTGATTTTTCTAAAGTGAAAAGAAATTTCATTCAAAAAGAAAAATAGAAAGACAGCTTAGGTAATAAGGCATCACTGAGGCACCCCACAGAATACGTGCACATTAGAAGTTATAACCAAAAGAACTAACAAAAGAACAACTGAAACCCCTACCCCATCTTCCCCTATCTGATTTCCTAGCAACGCCCACTCCAAAAAACAAAAGCACAAAATAATCCTGGGAACCTAGCACACATTAGCTTTACTCCAATTGAAAACTAATCCCCACCTTGCATTCCTTATCTACAATATAGACAGCAAAATCCAACCAATACAAGTGTACAACTTCAATCCACTTGCTGATCCAATAAAAAAAAAACTTCAACCTCTCTCCTTTCCACCTTATGAGAACTTCACCTATCTATTTAGAGGACTCTTCAGATGTGGTTTTAAGGCTTCTAAACCTCTCCTCTTCTAATTCCACAAATGCTTTTATAGCATGTTCTTTACCTCCTAAGAAAAACAGCTCCACTTTCTTTTTGATGACTATTTCTTTTTCAACCACTCTCTTAAGATCCACTTTCTTGTGTACCTTAAACATAAGAGCAACTGATGCATGAACATCTCCAAACTCCTTCCCCACTTTCTTGATGAATACTGGATATAGATTGCACACTAGTCATTTCATAGAAGAAAGGGCACATTTTTCTGATTTATGAAGTGATTGAATTCTATGTATGTTACATTGTCAACTAATATCAAATCTATCAAAAAGAAAAAAAAATCAACTAATATCTAAAAGATGCAGTTTTTTAATGAATGGTAGATTTATTTTTGGTTTAATTAGAGGTTGCCAACAATCATCTATTTAAAGTGAAAGAAACAAAAATTACTGAAGTGTAGAGCTCCAATCATTGGCAACATTCCTCCATAGAATGAAATTCAGCTCCTTGTTTTGATGATCTTGCTGGAGATTGTATCTAGCGGTATGTCTGATGAGATTGTGTTTTTATTTTGCAATATAATAGATGTGTTTCAAAACTAATAAAATCAGTAGAATATTTCAGAATAAAGTAAAAGAAATCAGAGAAGAAGAAGGAGACAGCAAGAAGGAGGAAGATTGGAGAAGAAAGGAGAAAGAAAGGAGGAGTTCAAAAATCGTTTCCTCTTTCCCCTACTCTTATCTTTTATAAAACATACTTAAATTACATAAATTACAAGGAAGCCCTTAAGTAGGCGTCCACATCAGCATTAAACTTAGAAAAACATAAAAAGAACTAAAGGCCCATAAAGAAAAGGCTCGATAAGAAAACATAACATGAAAGAACTAATAAGAAAGACACTAATGGGCTAGGGCTCATTTGGCCCAGTTTCTCTACACTCCCCCTCAAGGTGAGCATAGATATCTATCATGCCTAGCTTGCTTATATAATGAACCAGCTTTCTTTTAGGAACACCTTTTGTCAAAACATCAGCCAACTGTTCTTCAGAAGCAACAAATGGTAGGTAGACTTCTCTTGATTTAACTTTCTCTCGTATAAAATGCCTGTCAACCTGTGTTTAGTTCTGTCATGTTGAACAGGATTGTGTACAATGTTGATAGTAGCCTGGTTGTCACAATATAACATCATTGGTTTCTCACAGTCTATACCCAATTCATCTAAAAGTGATCTCAACCACAAAAGTTCAGAAACTCCATGTGCCATTGCCCTGTATTCCGCTTCAGCTGAAGATCTTGCCACTAAAGACTGCTTCTTACTCCTCCATGATACAATGTTCCCTACTACTATAGCATAGTAACTTGAAGTAGACCTCCTATCATCAATACATCCGGACCAGTCAGCATCAGTGTATGCTTCCAGCTTCATGTATCCATGCTTAGCAAACAAGATACCTTTCTCTGGAGTCCCTTTTAGATAGCATAGAACTCTCTCAGTAGCTGCTAAATGTGTATATCTGGGAGAATGTATAAACTGGGTGATTACACTAACTGCATATGAGATATCTGTCCGAGTCATGCAAAGGTAAAGAAACTTCCCAACCAGTCTCTGAAACACCCCCTTATCAGGCAACAATTCACCTTCAGTCGCTGCCAACTTATGATTTAGATCAATAGGAGTAGAAGCAGGTCGAGCCCCCAGTTTCCCAGTCTTTGCAAGGAGATCAAAAACATACTTCCGTTGAGAAATGGAGATACCATCCTTAGATCTGGCAACTTCAATCCCCAAGAAATATTTGAGTTCTCCCAAGTCTTTAATTTCGGACTCAGTGTTAAGAAAACTCTTGAGATGAACAACTTCCTGAGTATCATTTCCTGTAACCACAATATCATCAACATAGACAATCAGGAGGGTCACTAAGGAATCTCTCCTCTTAACAAACAAAGTATGATCCGACTGAGTCTGTGTGTATCCAAAAGCAACAAGAGCAGCCCGAAATCTGTCAAACCAGGCTCTAGGAGACTGTTTAAGGCCATAAAGAGACTTCTTCAGTTTACAAACTTTTTCTTGCATTTCCTTCCCATACACCCCTGGAGGTAAAGACATATAGACTTCTTCATTTAGGTCCCCATTCAAAAAGGCATTCTTTACATCAAATTGATGAAGAGGCCAGTCAAAAGTAGTAGCTAAGGATAGCAAAATCCGAACTGAAGTCATCTTGGCTACTGGGGCAAAAGTTTCTAAGTAGTCAATACCATACATCTGAGTATATCCTTTAGCAACCAAACGGGCCTTATATCTCTCAACAGTACCCTCAAAATGATACTTAATAGTGAACACCCACTTACAACCAACCGATTCCTTTCCCTCGGGAAAATCCATAATTTCATAGGTATTGTTCTTATGCAAAGCATCTAGTTCAGTCATCATAGCATCTCTCCATTCTGGTTTGGACAAGGCATCTGGGACAGACCGGGGAGTTACATGTGTGGAAACAAAGGCAAGGAAGGAATAGTAGGAGGGGGAAAGGAGGTTGTAGGACAGGTGTTTGGAAATACGATGAGCTGTGCATTTCTGTTTGTCTTTGCGAAGGGCAATAGGGAGATCAAGGTTAGGGAAAGTATCCGAAGTGGTAGAAGATGGCTGACCTGCTATCTCAATAGTGATGGGAGGAGTAAGAGGCACATTTGAAGGCGTGGAAACAACTTGCTTGTCTCTAAGTCTTTGTCTCTGGTACCACCTCTAGATGACTCAATTGGAGTAGACTCTATGGAAGATTCAATGGGAATTAGAAGAGGAATAGATGGTGACAATGCAAACAACTCGTCTGAATGCTCCCCCTCAAGAGAAGTACCAAAGAAAGGGACTGACTCTGCAAATGTGACATCTCTAGAAACAAAGGGAGTGCCACAAACTGGATCAAAACAGCAATACCCCTTCTGTGTGGAGGCATTATCCCAAAAAGACACTTGTGTGCTTTAGGCTCAAACTTATGTCTTTGATGACTGTGAATATGAACATAGCAAGTGCACCCAAACACCCGGAGAGGAAGATAACAAATCTTCATTTGGAAAAAGCAAGCTAAAGGGAGTTTTAAACCCCAGAATCCGAGAATGTATCCGATTTATCAAGTATGTAGCTGTAAGAACAACATCACCCAAAAATTTAACAGGAACATGGGAAGCAAAAAGAAGGCTCCTCTCAACCACATGTTTGTTTTTCCTTTTCGCCACTCCATTTTGTTAAGGAGTGTAGGAACATGAACTCTGATGAATAACTCCAAAGGTATCAAAGTAGGAGGAAAGACTCTTTTCAAAATATTCCTTTGCATTATCAGATCAGAATATTTTGATTCGAGTGTTAAACTGGGTAAGAATAAGTTCATGAAACTTTTGTACAATATTTGGTACTTCATCCCAGGATTTTAAAAAGTAAATCCATGTGTAACGAGAGAAATCATCAATGAAAAGAATGAAATATTTGTAGCCCCCCATAGTAGGTAAATGATATGGCCCTCACACATCAGAGTGCACAATATGGAAAGGAGAAACAAATCTTTTATTACTCACTAAAAAAGATTGTCTACAATGTTTAGCAAGTTCACATGACTCACAATGAAGACTCGATAGGGATATTCCCTTAAACATTTCTGGAAACAAATGACTCAAAGTTGAAAAAGACAAATGACCAAATCTGAAATGACATATCATGACTCTATTAACTGAATCTGATAAAATAGACTTCAAAGCAACTCCACTAGGTAATCCAGGATTTTGATCTGAGACATCCAACAAGTATATCCCATTCGCCTCATGGCCACTCCCAATCGTCCTTTGAGACTTCAGGTCCTGAAAAACACAATAAGTAGGAAAGAAAGTTATGCTGCAGTCCAATGATTTGGTTAACTATTAATATATAAAAGGTTAGTGTTAAGTTTGGAAACATGAAGGACAGAGGATAAAACAAGTGAATCAGAGGCTTTAATATTCCCCTTGCTAGATATGGGAGCAAGAGACCCATCGGCAAGAGAAATATTTTCTCTACCTGAGAGGAGCTAGTATGAGCAAAAGAGGTTGGGTAGGCTAGTCATATGGTCTGATGCACTAGAATCTATAATCCAAGGAATTCTACGATTACCTGAGGCTGTAGCATGATTTGCAGAAGCACGAATACCTGAATGGGCAAAAGTGGATGTAGAGGGGGCGCCTGAGGAGGAAGATGCAACAGTAGACTCCAAGTGATTTATCAATTTCCCATATCTCTCAAATTCTGCCTTTACTACTGCGAACTGTTCCACAGTAGATTTTTCTTCACATTCAGACACTATGGCAACATTTGCATTCTTGGGTTTTCTAGACTGACCACCCTTCTTAGAGCTGTTGTTGTTCTGGAACCTCTCAGGAAGAAGATCTGGATGAAGTTTCCAACAAGAATCCTTAGTATGTTTCGACTTCTTGCAGTATTCACATATCACTTCCTTTTTCTCATTCAACCCCTTTGGTTTTATTTCAGCATGTGCAAAATGTTTTGGAGGAGGTGGGGTCTGTAGTTGTACCTGTCGCCTGCACTCTTCACTGCTCACCATAGAGTATGCCTGTGCAAGTGACACATCATCCTTGGCCAAGATATTTTGCCTTGTAATATCAAATTTAGGATTGAGTCCTGTAAGGAACTCAAACACCCTGTTTCTTTCCACAAATTTTCTGAAAATTTTGGCATCTTTGGTGTTTTCCCATGCAAATGTTTCTATAACATCCAACTCCTGCCATAGTGACTTCAACATCGAATAATAGATAGCCACACTCTTCTCCCCCTGTCTTAAATTCTTCACATCACTCTTTAGTTTGTAGGCCCTTACAACATTTAATTTCTGAGAATATGTCTCTGTCACACTATCCCAAATCTCCTTGGCTGAAGTCATTCACAGATAGTGTTGACTTATATGGGGCTGCATAGAATTTACAACCACCCAATAACTGTGTAGTTATCCTACATTCATTTCTCATATGTAGGGTCAAATTCATCTGACATCGCCTTACTACCCGTTAGAAACCCTAGTTTACGTATATTACAGACATGGATCTTAATGGATTGTGCCTACGCAAGGTAATTTGTTCCATCAAGTTTAATTGTAGTCACTTCTGTAAAAAAGGAATCTACGGGATCAACCCCTGACACCGGGATTTGCTTCACCTCACTTCCAGATTGCTCCATCAATCAAACGAAAATAAAAAAAACAATGTTTTTAACCTTTATAGACCTAACTAAGGTCAGTCAAGCACTCAAAAGCCCCAAAACTAGGGTTTCACCATACCTGGTTTATGGGGAGAAAGAGAGAAGAGGTAGCCGCTCATACCAGAACTATCCAAACGGCTTCCAACTGCAGCCGCCCACTTTTGGAGATAAAAAGGAACCCTCCAAGCCTTTGAGCGCCACACCCAAACAACCTCTTCAACCCGTAACCGGAAATTCTCTAGTCGGCTAGGGTTTTGGGAAAAAAAATTGCAGTCCCACTTTCTTGGCAATCTCCAACCAGATTCTGACTCTCCAAACCCTCTACCAACTAGACAAACAAGATCTCTGAATAATCAACAATTTATCTCTCCATACACCTTTCGATTAGAAAAAAATGATGTATGGGAAAAAAAAGAAAAAAAGGAAAGGGAAGAGAGACCTGCTCTGATACCAAGATGTGATTCAAAACTAATAAAATCAGTAGAATATTTCAGAATAAATTAAAAAAAATCAGAGAAGGAGACAACAAGGAGGAAGATTGGAGAAGAAAGGAGTTCAAAAAAATGTCTCCTCTTTCCCCTACTCTTATCTTTTATAAAACATACTTAAGTTACATAAATTACAAGGAAGCCCTTAAGTAGGCGTCCTCATCAGCACTAAATTTAGAAAAACATAAAAAGAACTAAAGGCCCATAAAGAAAAGGCCCGATAAGAAAATATAACATGAAGGAACTAATAAGAAAGACACTAATGGGCTAGGGCCCATTTGGTCCAGTCTCTCTACAATAATTTAGCAAACATGGAGTTTTACTGTTATTAATTAGTCCTTTTTGTTGAGTATTCATTTAGGTTGATGACATGCTTGATCTCTATTTCCACGTGTTTTCTTCCTGAAAGTTGCTGTCTACATCTTGACTAGGTGAGGAACTCACTGTAACCTACAAGCATCATGCTTATTTCCATGTTTTCCATATAAATGAATTCAAGTAGATCAGAAGAAGTGGAATGAGGTAATGGAGCTTCTTTTGCAAGAATAGTCTCTTCTCTTCTATTCTCTTGTTTCTCTCTCTGTGAGTGTGTGTATATGTATGAATTTTTTATATATGAATGACAAAAGAGAGAGCTATATTATAAATGGAAAAAGAAGTATTAGCTATATTATACAAAATTAGTTTCTCTTGTAGAAAACAACTTTTACCATGGGGCTATATATGGCATCCATTTGCTCAAATTTGAATTCAAAATTAATCTGACTAAGGTGATCTGAATTTGATCCGTTTATAATTCTTTTGATAAATGAGGGTGGTTCTTGGCGCAACGGTTGGGTTGCTCCATTCTGACATGGGTGATCAGGGTTCAAATTTTGAAAACAGCCTCTCTGCATGTGCAGAGGTAAGGCTGCATGCATCTGTCCCTCCCCAGATCCTGCATTGGTGGGAGTATCGTGCACTGGGCCCTTTTTTTATAATGTTTTGGACAAATAACTGAATGAATTTCATTGGAAGAAATCACCAAACTACTCGCCAAGGTGAGCAGCAAGCCGAAGAGTACATGATATTTGATGTGGACACCGGCAGCAGCAGCAGTAATTTAGTGCAGCAACAGCAGTAATTTAGTGTTCTCAGCAGCAGCAATTTAGTGTTCTCATCCTATCTTATCTATTCAGTATTCTTGCCTTATCTGCTTTCAGTAGTAGGGATTAGTAGGAGTCTTATCTATTCAGTGTTCTTATCTTATCAGTTCAGTAGTATGAATTAGTAGGGAGTCTTATCTTATCTTATCAGTTCAGTAGGATAGATTAGTAAGGAGTCTTCTTAATTAACAAGGAGTCTTCCTAAAAGTAGGACTCTTATCTCTTGTAATCTCCTATTTAAGGAGCTAAGAATATTGAATAAAATCATCAAAAATTTCAGTCAAGAAAGAGAGCAAGGAGAGTTAGGTGATCTCTTGGACAAATCACCATTAAGGCGCCAAGATAGGTTCTTCAAGAAAATGGAGGAACAAGGGAAAACAAGAGGTGACTTTGAGCAATTTGCGGGCCCATAACAATTTGGTATCAGAGCAAGGCGTCATGGGTGACTTTGAGCAATTGACGTCTAGGATTCATGATCTGGAGCACAAACTCGTGGAAAACAGCAAGGAGGTGCGCGAGATCAAGGACGACGTCCGAGAATTAAGGCGCTTGATGGAGTTGTACTTTTCTAGCAAGGAAAGGAACCCGAAAAGGGCTGCAACCACAATCGACCGCCGACCAGACATGGCTGAATTGTCCGGCGAGCAGCAGGTCGTTGCCCTAGTGCAGGTTAGCAACACCCAAAATGTTCCGATTAAGCAGGAATCCGGTGTCATCGAGGATTCCATCTACGAGAGTTCAAAGAAGAATAGGAGTAACTACTCCAAGGTCGTCATCGCTGGTGAAGGAGCTTGTATGCCTCATGTTGTGGCTGCAAATGTTGCAAAAGAGTGTTTTTTAGCTGCAGTCAGATCAGATCCTAGGGTTGCACATATCTTGTGAATCTTGCTAATGCATACTATGTGGCTGGTGATCATAGAAGTGCTGGAAAGTGCCTGGAGAAGGCAACAAAACTGGAGCCTAATTGCATGTCAACTCGATATGCTGTTGCGCTTCATCGTATCAAGGATGCAGAAAGGTCTCAAGATCCCACTGAACAACTTTCATGGGCTGCGAATGAAATGGCTTCAATTCTTAGAGAAGGGGACTCTGCAATAATTGAGCTTCGGATAGCATGGGCAGGATTTGCCATGGTTCACAAGGCTCAGCACGAAATTGCAGCAACGTTTGAAACTGGACATAATGATTTGACGGAAGAGGAAGAGCGAGCTCTGTACACACTAAAGCAGGCAATAGAAGAGGATCCAAATGATGCAATTCAGTGGCACCAGCCTGGCGTTCACAATCTTTGTACTCTACAGTTCAAGACATTTCAGAAGTACCTTAAGGCTGCAGTTGCCCGCGGCAAAGAATGGAGCTACGCATGGTCAAATCTTGGTATCTCACTACAGCTGTCTGAGGCTGAACCCTCTTCATTTGAGCCCGATTCAAGAGGGAAAAATCATTCCACCTATCCGGGATTCCTTTGACTATGTTTCAAGACACCCATCCTGAATTCGAGCTTGAGGACAAGCTCGTAGTCCAGGAGAGGAGTAATGATGTGGACGCCGGCAGCAGCAGCATTAATATAGTGCAGTAGCAGCAGTAATTTAGTGTTCTCAGCAGCAACAATTTAGTGTTCTCATCCTATCTTATCTATTCAGTATTCTTGCCTTATCTGCTTTTAGTAGTAGGGATTAGTAGGAGTCTTATCTATTCAGTGTTCTTATCTTATCAGTTTAGTAGTATGGATTAGTAGGGAGTCTTATCTTATCTTATCAGTTCAGTAGGATAGATTAAGGGAGTCTTATCTTATCTTATCAGTTCAGTAGGATAGATTAAGGGAGTCTTATCTTATCTTATCAGTTCAGTAGGATAGATTAAGGGAGTCTTATCTTATCTTATCAGTTCAGTAGGATAGATTAGTAGGGAGTCTTCTTAATTAACAAGGAGTCTTCCTAAAAGTAGGACTCTATCTCTTGTAATCTCCTATTTAAGGAGCTGAGAATATTGAATAAAATCGTCAAAAATTTCAGTCAAGAAAGAGAGCAAGGAGAGTTAGGTGATCTCTTGGACAAATCACCATTAAGGCACCAAGATAGGTTCTTCAAGAAAAGGGAGGAACAAGGGAAAACAGGAGGTTTTCCCCGTGGACCGACCCGTGACGAGATCCTATTCGCGGGCCCATAGCAATATTTCTCTATAAATGGGGCTATAAAACAATACAAATGAGAACAAATTTTTACAGATTACAGCCCGGCCCTGGCCCCTGGGCAATCCCATTCTTGATATTACCTAAGAATACAAATCCACCATCTAATCAAGGTTCAAAGTACCGACACGTATCGGCCTGTATTAGCTGATACGTATCGTTTCAGGACCCCTCTGATACGCTCCTACAGTGGGTGTATTGGGGATCTGACCGGTTCAGGGGGTGGAAGAGTCCTAAACCAGCTCCCCTGAACCAGTTTTGAAAAAAAAATAAAAAAAGTAAAAAAAAAGGTATCGAAACACCCGATACGCCCCTACCGGAGTATCGGGCGTATCGATATTTTGAACCTTGCATCTAATAAATTTTTTTTTGATCTCTTCACCATCTAATAATATTTAAACATCTATACCCTGACTTTCTTTTAATCTCTCTCTTTTCTTTGAAGGATAACTTACCCTGACTTTTTGATACCTTTAGACACCCTCTATTCAACTACACTCTTTGAACCAAAATTCCAAAAATAGGCTCATCCATTCACTCAAATTAAATTTGTGAGATGAGTAAACATGAAATAGGCGGCAAAATAGGGGAGAGAGAAATAAACCAATGATATTTTCTCATATGATAATTAGTTAATAGGGTAGACTAGTTGGTCAAGGTTGGTTTTTGTCATTAAAAAATAAAAATGGCACACATGAACCACTTCTTTTATGGTCACTGACATTGACTTGAGGAAGGTATGTATATTATAAATAAAATAGGGGAGAGAAATAAACCAAGTGTATTTTATCATATGAGAATTAGTTAATAGGGTAGACTAGTTGGTCAAGGTTAGTTTTGTCATTAAAATTAAAAGTGGCACGTCTAGACTCCTTGTGTTATGGTCACTGACATTGACTTCAGCACCTGTTAGAAGTGACCTATTACAAATTGAAGGGACAAGAAGAGATAGGGGCAGACCAAAAAGGACTTGATTGGTAGTAGTAAGAAGTGATTCAAACACTCATAATTTGGTGATGGATATGACACTGAACAGAATGGAACGACGAAACAGGATTAATGTAGCCAACCCCATATAGTTGGGAGACAGCTTAGATGATGATAATAGTGGGGTCTCTGGAGGTTATAAAAATGTCAGGCTAAGTTAAAGAGAATGTTATAAAGGTAAAGGGGAGTTTCAGATAATAACCCTAAATATGCATTATTTGAATGCCACATGTTTACTAAAGAGTCACAGGTTCTAGTCTCATGCATAGAAACTGTTTTTCTAAGGCATTTTCAGTTTAATTTATTAATGATATACAATATCTGAATCTGATGAGTTTGATCTCATTCCAACAGATAAGATTCAATAATCTGAATATTAATTGATCAAATTTGGATATAGGTTTATTGATTCAAATCTGATCCATTTGCAGTCCTATTTTACGATGCTAAAATCTCCAGTTTACCAAAGAACACTCCGCTCGCCCACTTCGGATCCCATACCATGCTGGTTCATCTACAATCCTATTAGCTTCTGTAGGTACTGAACTGGACATTGCAATATAAAATTAGTGGTCCCTATACAAAGTTAAGCTACCCACTTGGACTTTTTTTTGGTCGGAGGTAATGTATAGAATTCGTTGACAAAGAGAGAAATAAGATGCAAAGCTATGCCATGCACACTAAGGCCCTGTACATGGGAATGTAGGTACAAAACAGAACGGAAAATATTAACATTAGAACAAAATATTTCTTATAAAAAATCTACTGTATGACAACCCTTAGAAGTCTTTGTGAGCTGCCAGCCATGGCTACCCATTTAGACTTTGTTTGCCATTTAGTATCCAATTAGTGTAGGCATTAGCCTGAATGAGACATTTGAGGTGAAAGTTAGAACCCTAATCTCGTGAATAATAGGGAAAATACAGCAAGAGTAAGCTCTACTACCCTCTCTATTTTCTTTCAATCATGAAGGGTAATAGGACCATATTCCTTGACAGTTCTTACAGTGCATTAACAAGTTTTTCTGCATAGTTCTGATTAAGAGCCGATTTTCTAATGAGACATCCGTGGTTTAGGAGTTTGTTATGTTATGCTATCTTCTCAATTCGTTGCTGTAATAATCCAATTCATTGATCATGCAGAAATTTGAGAGAATTGCCATGAGAACGCCAAGGTATTACAAGGAAGGATGTTCTTCAGATCCCAAGATACAAATGAGATGGGTTGTTCACAAGGGAGCCTGCATCAGAGTCGCTGACATGGTACATGGAGATGGTTGGAGATGAGTAGCTATCCAATACGTAGACCGTTTTATTCGGTTATCTGCAAGAACACATAAGCATACACCCAAGCCCCGCGATCCATCGAAAATCGGAATGAAACGATGACAAAGGATTTATTTTCCTGCATGTTGACATATACGGATAGTCTCTAAGTCTATTTGAATGAACAAACTTATTCTTAATCTCAATGTCTATTATTATGCAGACGTTTTCTTTAATGTGCTTGTGGCCTTGTGTAGTAGAGATTGATACTTGATATCAAAGGCTCGATGGGGCTATGTTTGAAAAATATCATAAACTCTGTGTAACGTGGACGGATGGCCACCTTTGTCAAATAACCTCCTCGACCAGGCCACCATAAGGTATTAAGGCCTTTGACGGTGTACGGGGATCTTTAGCAGTGGCACAGTTATACTTGCCTTGGCTTGCATTTTATAAAACTATAAAAGTTAAAAATTTTACTATGTAAAGTTAATTTATATTTTTACTTTTTACTTTCCATATGTATAACATGTGCCCTAGTAATATACGTATCAACGTCGTCATCATATTATTATTATTATATATAGATTCTGGAATTTATTTTGATTAAAATACCCTTAATCTGACCTATTACTTGGCTTGCATGAAAATACCCTTGGCTTGCATTAAGTCCTATATTTAAATCATTTAGTCCAATTTTTTCATTAAATCTTATATTTAAGGCACATTATATAAATGAGCTTTATAATTTTTTCTTCATTAAAATACTCTTATTTATGAATTTAATCTCTCTTTAACTATTTAGGCAAAAAATGTAATTTAAAGTGCTATTGCTTTCTTTGAAGTATTTTTTGTTTTTCACTAATAAGTTCTACAAAGTAAATCTGTCTATTATTTTTAATAATGTAAAACCTATGTCCAAAATCAACATGGAAAATAATTAAATAAATCACCCTTTTGCCTAAGTGGCAAGTAAATAGTTCAACCATCGGTGTTAAATGGGTCAATCAATGTTCTCATAGTTATAATAAAAATTAAAAAAAATATAAATATAAATACTACAAAAATTATGAAAAAAGTTTAGGTACATCTCTAACATTATCTATTTATCATATCAAACAATATTAAGAATGCTAAATATAAGCATTTTTCTTTGATGAAAATGAAATACAAGATTTAAAATTGACTAAAAAATGAAACCATTTTCTTATTCAAGTGTGGGTCAATGGTTCAACGTTTTAGGTCAAATGGGCCAACCCATGATATCATAAATAAACAATAAAAATTTATGGTTCAACCTTTTAGGTCAAATAGACCAACTCATGATATCATAAATAAATAATAAAAATTTAACGAGGCACAAAACTTTTTAGGTCAAACAATTTTGACCGTTTTTTATTTTTAAACTTTTTTATTTTTTGTTAGAATGTGCTGCCCGCTCGGATCGAACGGTTGGACCGTTTGATTGGGAACTGGTCCCCTGAACGGTTCATTCTCCGGGTTGGTTCTAAAAACCTTGAACAAAAGTAATAATATGATTAAAAATAAAGTTAAACACTTATAGTAAATGTGCAGATGCATTGCATGTGGAAATTATAAATTACAATAACAATTATTATTAAATTTTGTATTCCATTTCTATCATAAATAAAATAATAATTATTTTTATTTGATATGGTGAATAAATAACATTATAAATGTTCCCAAACATTTTCGACAAAATTCTGGACTTTTTTTTGTATTCTATATTGTTTTTAATATTTATTATTCAATTATGACATTATGAGTTTATTTGAAAAGTTGGATCATTGACCCATCATCTAGATAAGAAAATAGCTTTGCTTTTAGATCAGTTTTAAATTGTATATTTCATCTATATTATTTAAATAATTTTTTACTTATGACACTTAATTTTTGTTTTACATAATTAATATATAATTATTTTTTAAAGATTTATTATTTAACTCTCATATCATCGGTTAATTCATTTGACCCAAACCACTAGCCCACCACCCAAAAAGGAAAACACCTTGATTTCTAAGTTGACATTAAGTTTTGTATTACATTTCCATCATTGATAAAATTATTTCTTATGTATAATACTTAGTTTTGTTCAATATAATAATATTAGAGATGTATCCAATATTTTATTTTTTTATAAATATATAACATTAGATATGTGCCAAAAAATTTCTCTGTTTTTTAATTTTTTTGTGATTCTTTGCATTTTCTATTTAAAAATTTTTATTATTTGATCTTGACATCATTTCATTTCTAGGTTGGTTTTAAATTTGGCATTCCATTTTTGTCATTAATAAAAATACGTTTTACATTTTATACTTATTTTTTTAGTATAATGAATATCAATATTATAGATATGCCTACTTCTTTTTTTGTATTATGTATTTTATTTATTATTTAATTATGACATTACTTATTAACTCATTTGACCTCAAATGGTTGAATTGCTTACACCAGGAGGGAAGAAAAGGGTTTTATTTTCGAATTACTTTTCAAAATATTTATTTTTATACTATTAAAATTAATGTTGTGGATTTAATTAGTAGAATTTAATAATGATAAAATATATCTTAAATATAGGATTTAGTGAGAGAATATACCTTAGAATTGAGATTTAATGAGAGTGAATAGGAAAATAGGTTTATTTCCAATTGGTTTTAAATTTTACATTCCATTTCCATCATTAATAATTAAAAACATTTATTATTTATCATACTTATTATTGTTTAATATGTCGAATATATGATGTTAAAAATGTTCCCAATTTTTAAATTTCTATATTTTTGTATTTTATCTATTTTTGAATTTTATTATTTAATTGTCGCAACATGATTGGCTCATTTGACCTAAAATGGTTTAATTTCTTACCACTACCTAGATGAAAATACTATTTTTTTCCGGGTAGGTTTTTAAAGTGTAAGTTTTTATGCTATTGAAATTATTATTTTATTATTTATGGATTTAATTAATATAATTTAATGATAGGAAGAAACAAAAAATGCATTAAAAATATGATTCAGTGAAGGTGAATGCAAGTTAATTCCTTGAGGTTATTCACACTTTTTAAAGTAGTCTAGATTATATATAGATAGATAGATAGATAATAGTAGGGAAAATTCCCGATTAGTACCCTGTACTTTTGGCCTAATGCCACTTTGGTGCCCAAACTTTAAAACGCGACAATTTAGTACCCAAACTTTCAAAACATGACAATCCAGTACTTGTTGTTAACTAGCCGTTAACCAGCTATTAAGAGGCATTTGAAAAAGAAACAAATGCCCTTCGAGTGTCATCTAATTTTCTTTATCAACCATCCAAACATTGACAAAAAATTAACAATTCCAAATCCTTGCCTCTTCTATTCAAGAAAGTTGGGGTCACCAGAATGCTCACACAAATGTGACCCCAACTTTCTTGAATGGAACAGGCAAGGATTCAGAATTGTTAATTTTTTGTCAATGATTGGATGGTTGATAAAGAAAATTAGATGAATAAGGAATTTTCCCTATTATAATATATATATATATATATATATATATATACATATATAAAATCTATACTACTTAAAAAAGCGTGAATAACTTCAAGAATATTTTTGGAATTTTTTGAGAACAAAATTTACCTCCATATTTAAATTTAATCAGTTAACCAATTGATTTGGTTTGGGAAGATGCGAAAACCAAAAAAGACTAGTTCTGTTTTAAAAATATACCCATAACTCGATTAATCGAACTATAAATACCTCTACCCCGTAATATAATAGGGTTTGACTATGATGCCAAAAAGACACGATATCCAAACTTCTTGTGACCAATCAATCGATATCATAAAGATGATAACCAATTAGGTGACATTTATCAAAACTCTTCCAATACCATATAGTTTTTTGCAAGGTTCAAAGTATCGACACGTATCGGTCAATACGTATCGTATTGGGAGCACCCCAATATGCCCCTACAGAAGGCGTATCGAGGTTCTGACCGATTCAAGAGGTGGAGGAGCCTTAAACCAGTCTCCTAAATCGGTTTTAAAATAAAAAAAAGTAAAAAAAATACTGATACTGTCCGATACACCCCTACCAGCGTATCGATATTTAGAATTTAGAATCTTAATTTTTTCATGATAAATTTTTCCTATATAATATATAATATTAAAAAGGAATAAGGAATATTTGGATTTAACTTTTTATAGATGAGGATAGGCAATGCCGCAGTGCGTGGACGGTGGATCAATGCTGCCTGAGTAGCAAACGCATGGTGGGGTTCCTTAATTCCTCCGGTTGTCTTTCCTTTGAAAATAGATAGAAACAAACAAAATAAAATCAACTGTACTCGTCGTTGTCCATTCATTTTTAGCATGTTACGTGAATGATTTCTTTATTATATATGCACCCTCTTTGAGTTTTTATATGAAAATAATAAACAATTAAGTAAATAGATAAACAACCTAGAAATCGGATTTGCTCAGGTCGTTCCTCACACCAACCTCACAGCACATGGCAGTCATATATATATTAGGAGCATCTCTCCATAAATATATAGCATTTTGTAAAGAATAGATCTGGATTCAACATGTCAGATTGGCGCCCAAAGAGTGTGCCGCTAAACACACTGCACATTCACATGTATTGACTATTGAGAGCATCTTCGTATTTAACATGGAGAGGTGTTACCAATAGATGGATAGGATGTGCTGTGAGGCACGTGTGGGGCGCATTCTGTGAGCATTGATGGAATTCCCATTAGAAAGTGTCTTATTTGTTGGGTGTGAGTAAGAGTGTCATTAGGGTAGAGTTTATCAATGAAAGAGGTGTCTAAGATGATTATCCTTTAAGCATAACTTTTGGAAGCTCTTTCTAGTCTCTTTGAAGCAGATGAAATTGAAGTTATGTCTAGGTATGTATTTGGTATAGCTTCCATTTATTAAATAAATGTTTGTATTTGATTTATTTTCAAAATCGAGAAAAGTACTTGATAAATTGTTTATTGACAACTAGGTGCCATTAGGCACCACATCAGCATAGTAGTGAATAAACACTCTATTGTTGGGGGAAGTATTAAAATGAAGTTTCTCCCAACTGTTGATGCCCATATAAATTAAAACTCACTTTTGTTAATATCAATGCAGATGAATATGATGCGAAAAATGCTGATTTAACAATAATATGACAACATTTTGATAAATGCCTATCACAAAACACCCATGGAATAAAACACATGATAGGAAGTAGGAATGTAACAGGTTAATAATAAAAAACTTCAATAAAACCAAACTAACATAATGTTACATTCCAACTCCTTGAAAAGTATATCATGGAGCCATATTGAAGGTTGTTCCAAAAAACTCATCTTGTTATGGGTAGGGATGCAATTTGTAGGCTTGCGTTCCTTTTTATTAAAATTGGAATAGCCCGAAGCCCGAGCAAATTTGGGCCAATCCGAGTTACACCTCTATAATGAGTGACTTTTATTTGGTTGGTGTTTGGAACAAACGCCCTTTCCTGAGAGGCCTTTTCTCAAAAAAAGAAAAAAAGGTATTGTGTAGGCATGATATTTTATCAGAAAATGTCTTTTTAGGTTTTCTATTTGGTGCCATTACTGTTGTTGTCACATATAGTTTAGCTTCAGTCCAGGCACCCTTAGTCAGGGCACCGTTTGCGCATTCGGAGGATGTGCCACACGTCTCTGAATTGCGTGAATGGCTTAAGCATGCGAAGAACGCACTTACAAGCAAAAGATCATCCCCTATTGCAGTTGAAGTTAAGCATGCGAAGAATGCGCCACGCACCACGCATCTCTGTTAGTTGAAGTTAAGCAAAACGAGTGTTTTGCTCCTCTCCTCCTCTCCTTTCCTGTCGTAGACAAGACATCTCTCCTCCCTCTCTTTTCCCATCCGCCTGGCGGCGACTTCACAATCAAAGACCATCCCCTGTAGATAAAACTTCAGTATATACTGAATGAGTATCACCTACATTAAGCACATCCATAACATTGCTCCAAGAAGCCCAGATTGGGTCACGGTCCTCCTCCATAATCTCATTGCCCAAAGCTTTAGCAGTTAATTCAGGAATAGCAAGTCTTGCAGCAGCTCGTGATGTTTCATTATCTTCCCCAGCCACTCGAATTGCTTCCAGAGTAGCCATATCTTTTGATGCTTGCCAGACACTTCTTGTAGAAGGCCCCTCACCAAGCCTAACAGATCCTTGTCCCTTATTCCAAGCTCTTGTTTTGCCAACTTGATCACTGTCATGTTCTTCTCTAGATGACCTATCATCACCACCTAGAGCTCTTCTAGAACTGATATGCCCATTTCCTGAAGAAACATATGCATAAGAATGCCATGCATCAAATACATTAGATCTCCAAGGTGGGTCCCTTCCCCTCATTCCCGAAACACCATAATCAGGTGAAAGGGACCTCTCTGCAAATGGAATACATTGATTGCCACCCGTGCCCAACTTGCTACTAGAGTAATCAGAGAGCCCATTATACTTGCCAACCAACCTACCTTCATAACTCACCATAAAAGTACTACCTTTACTGCTTGATGACACCGTCAGATCCTAGAGTAATCATGCTGTCATGGAACCCGCCCATGAAGTCCTGCAATATGGAAATATTTTAGTGAATATTGAAAATCAGTTCAAAAAAGCATTTCTCAAACAAAACTTACTCAACCAACCTGTAACATATTCATGAGATGAGCTTGTTGCCTCTAGTTGTGTCAATTGTCTTTGGATAATTAACTAGTTTCTTTTGTTTGTCGCCGGCAGCAATGGTTGTGACAAGAGAGGGGGTGGAGAGATGTCTTCTATGCGACAAGAGAGGAGAGGAGATGAGTGTTTTACTTAAACTAACGGTGATGCACACTAAGGCTGAAGAATCCTCACATGCTTAAGCCATTCACACGATTCGGAGACGCGTGGTGCGTCCTCCGAATGCGCGAACGACACCCTGACTAAGGCTTCTTGGACTGAAGCCGAACTCTTTCACATATGCATTTTTCAAAGTCATATCAGCATATTGTTGCTTGTAATAATAGAAAAAATATGAAAACACCCAAAATGATGTTTTCCCATACCACACTTTTTCCAATTTTCATGGCATGGTATAAAATCATGGGTCTACCTCTGACACATATCGATACTTTGAAGAAGGTGATGGTATCGGGTAAAGCAACCTAGGCACTCTGACACTATCTCTTTGCAGGTTAATCCAATGAACTAGCCAGTTTAGTATCCGAGCTGTTCTCCAACAGGGAGCTACCAAATCGTACATCATCAATTGGCACCGTCTATGGGAACCGCGACAAAATCTAAGTTCTCACCTCTCTTCAGCACCACAATCTCGATGGCTTCCTCAAGCAACCAACTTGTCAACAACAACAACCAGGTCACAAGGGGGTAAGACTAGCTCTTATGGCACACCCAGAGGTCCCCTTAGTGACCATCGAACAACTCGCAGTACCACTGACCCTATCGGGTGTCCCAGTTATGCCAAACTCGGATTTTCCACAACATCGAGTGAACGTGCTTCTCCCTCCAGTTGAGCCCTCAGTGGTTCTTGTTGGGATTCATGTGTGCTAGTTCTATGAATTGGTGCAGTACGTTCGTGGGATGAACTTATAGATGAGAACATGGGAGGAACAATTCACTGCCCTAGTAGGGATACAACTGCAACAGTGACCACAACAGCAACACCAACAAAATCAGAACGCCAAGCCAAACCAGAACCAGGTTCTTGACCAAAACCTGAATCAAGCCCTAGTGGAAGAAATAAGGTAAGCCACAACAACTATTGGAACTAAAGCCACCAACTCGACTGGAGGGTCTCAGAGAAGGTGCCACAGACGCACATGTCACGCTACAGGAAAGAGTCACCTTGCCCCATCTGCAAGCGGGGTAGAAAAGAAATGCGAGAAGGAGGCCAGCCAGATTGGTACATTGCCAGCGCAACCAATATCTAGCACCTCACCACTGGCTACCGAGATCCTTGTAGCCCCATGACCCAAAGACTTCAAGGTCCCCAGTCTGAAATTCTATGATGGGACAACTGATCCTGTCGACCACCTTGACAGTTTCCAAGCCCTAATGAAATTACACGGGGAAAATGACGTGAGCCAGTTCACCAACCTATTCACCACGCATTTCACAACAAGTAAGAGGTGCTTGGAATCGGTGACCTGCTTACTAAATGTCGTCCAGAGGCCAGACGAAAAACTTTGGGATTATATCAAAAGATTCAATCTAGAGCGGCTACAAATTCCTAATCTTGACCCAACCATCCAACTCACTGCAGCGATCAACGGTGTCCAGCATCCGGACTTGCGCTGAGAAGTTGAGTTGAACCCTCCAACATCTATGGAGTTCCTTAATCAAGCAGGCAAGTTTACGAAGGCCGAAGAAGCACTTAGATCCCGGTTAGAGCTAAAAGGCATGAGGAAAAGGGCGAAAGAAGAATTGGGGAGTAGTAAGCAACGCCAGAAAAGCAAGTAACCAAGGCACATTAGGTCTCCCCGGAATCGGCATAGTAGGTCGCTATGAAGTATCAGGTCGCCACGCAAAAGCATCCAGCCTTCAAGACGATGCTCTCGCACTCCTCCTGTACAGAATAGAAATTACACCACCCTCAATGCCAAAAGAGGGGAAATTTTGATGCAAATAAAGACAACTGAGTACATGAGATGGCCACCCAGGATGAGAGGTGACCTTGCCAATAGAAACCCAAATAAATACTGCCACTTCCACCGTGATATAGGCCATGACACAGAGAACTGTAGTAACCTCAAGGACGAGATCGAGGAGTTGATCTGCCAAGGTTATTTGAAGCAATTCATTAAGAGGGAAGACAGAGGCTGACCTACCGAACAACCCAAAGATGTACCACAGTCAAGTAGAGATCAAGATAGGGACCATCCTCTTGAGACCCACCACCAGCAGAGCAACCCATCCATGATGTCATTAATATGATCATAGGTGGGTCGATTGTAGCAGGGTGCATGCATGACCTAGGCAAGCAAAAATTCAGTTCTTTGGGAGCTTGAACATGATGGAAAGAACCCACCAAAGCGGGAGCTCAAATCCACAAGGGTCCAAATAGTATCGGGATGGATCTGCCCCAAGGAAACACCATGAAACGAAAGCACCTGGACAATGAAAGGGTGCAAAGGAAAAGGGAGGCCGACGATTAATGCCTCCTTAAAGACGTAAACCTCACCTCGGTCATGGCTCCATGGGAGTTGATCTGGGCTGGGCTAGATGTAATTGAACTCACTGAGAACGTGGAATGTCAAAATTAAATTAACAATTTCTTCCCCACTTAGCTCATTGGGACCGAATGGGGAAACCTCTGGCTCTTGCTGAGACGTCGAGGTCCCAACATGAAAACCATGTCGGCCTCGCGTCGAGGTCCCCTCCTCGGCTTGAGCAAAGTGTGGTGACCCTCCTTCAGAATTTCTTGAAGACATGACTACAAAATGGGAAAAGAACTCACTAGCTTTCGGGAAACAGAAACTAGCATTAGGCAAAAACTCCACCCGACGACCTAACAGCAATCCCCCGACAAAATTCTTCTCCAACCGATCGCCCCTCTCCCTTGGAGAGAATCTCAGAATAGTACGAGTGGGACCCTAGTGGGGACCCCCTATTTATAACTTGCTAGCAAAGAAAATCGATGGCTAAGACGCCCTATTGGCAAATCGATGGTCGAGGAAACTGTACTGCGCAGGCTAATTTGAATGTTAAATTTTGTGTGCCTAACTTGCACGCTCATCTAAAATTTCAAAATTTTAACCTCTCCGTAGTCCCACCCATCCTTGAGTCGAGTTGGAAGAGTGAGTCGAGTGATTTGTGGACCGGCCGAACAAATTACTGTAGACTAAGAAAAATGACTGTGAGCTACTCCCTTCTCCTAGCTAGTGTCAACTCGGGAGTGGGGGGCAATTGATGAGGGATAATTTGGCCCTTTGAATGACATCACGACACGTGGCATTTCTAGACAGCTAGATGACACCTAAATACCAAATAAGTTGATCACCTTGGTAGAGCAGCTAGTAGTAGCTCACCTAGTGCCGACTTATAATACCTTGGCCTTGCCGATCTAAGGGTCTTCGATGTAAGAAGTGACCTCCTCGATGGCCTTCCTAGTAGACTAGGGTCCAAGTGGTGACCTACGAGATGTGCTCGCTGACCTATTCCTTAACCTTGTTATTAAGGCCAACTTCTCCAGGGTAACAATGCTCAATCGTTAAGTCCGCCTACTTGCATCATTTGCATCAGAATCGATCGAACGAATCTCATCCCTCTGCATGGATCACGTAACTAACTTAGATATCCTCTCCGAGATTAGCAGAAGAGGTCCCCCGGGAATCTTGGACCCATTATAAAGAGCCTTTGGTTCCTTGCACCTATATAAAGGCATCACTTCCCTAAGAAAAGGTATGTGCAACTTAGCTCTCATAGCTCTCTAGCTCTCTCGCTTTTACCTTTCTCAAATATCTTTAATTCGCTAACTTAAGCATCGGAGTTCCCACCCAGGTAAAGCAGCCTGGTCACTCTAACACAGTCTCTTTACAGGTCGACTCGACGAACTAGCCAGTTTGACATCCGAGCTATCCTCCAACAAGGAGCTACCAGATCGCGCATCATCAAATAGTACTATAATTTTATGGATTATTAAATTCAATAAGTAATTAATATTTTAAAATTTAAATAAAAATATTATTTTAATAAATAAATAATATTGAAAATAACTAATTTCATTTATACCAATTAATAATTCTAGAAAATAACTTTCAAAAAATATTGTTTATTAATAATAGTTTTAAAAACTTAATATTTATTTATTATATATTTATCTATACTAAAATTAATATTGAATTTCAGTAATTATTTATTGTTTTTGTGATAAATATATTTTCAATAAAATTATGTATAAATCTATTTTTCTTTTGTTATTTAATAGAAAGTTTTCAATAATTATTAGAGTTTAAACTACTATTATTTAGCATTTTAAATTTAATTTATTTTGTATTTTCAATATAAATTTTTAATAATTATTTGAGATTAAACTATTGTTCATAGGTTGGTTCAGTTTAGCTATAGGTTGTTTGGCCAACCAAATCGATCTGGTTAGGTTGTGGGGTTGCTCACTGAGGTTATATCGGTTTGGGTCAATTTTCAGTTTGGTCGATCAGTTCAAAAAATTAAACTTAAAAAAAATTAAATTTAAATTAAAAAATTACAATTGCATTATTTAAAAAATAAAATTTATGACATAAACTATTTTAGCCTAAGAAACATTGGAATTTTCCCACTTTCTCGTAATAAAAAATATAAAATATTAATATATATATATGTATATATCTATGGTTGGGTTATTTGATTTTAGTCAATTTATAAATGGCCAAAGCGAAACTAATCTAACCTAGTCAGGTTAGGAAATTGTTGAACCAAAGTCGACTGAAAATACTAGAAATCGGGTTGGTCTGTTCCATTAGCTTGATTTGGAATGGCAACGGGGTGGG